CTGCACTTCTCTGTCTATCTCAAGCCACCATAATTGGAGTAAAAACTCCCTAAGGCCAACAACCACCCTAACCGAAATTCATCCTCCACCATTCCACATCCATTCTTTCATATTTCATCTAAAATCCCATCAACTCCACATATAATTACATCACTTCTCAACACATACTAATGAATCAATTCTCATCATATACTAATGAATCAATTCTCATCACATACTAATAAACCAATTCTCATCACATATTAATAATTCACTTCTCATGGCCATGAGATTCACATATCAAACAACCTCAATTTCAATCCATAATTCTCATCATCCAAACATACATACAACATAAAATAAATTTCTCTACACAAATATTTATCCAATCAAAGCTAAAGTTGGATTTACTTACCTTGAATTTGAGCAACTCCAACACTATAATCTCTCTTTGGTAGAATTCCCTTTCTTCTTAAACCCTAAGCATATACAACCATAAGAATTCAAAACTTTAAAATTTAATCTCACTTCTTGGTGCAAGAATCTTACATTTGGATGCTTAGGATTGAAAATCTATCAAAATCTAGCCAAAATCCTATGAATCTAGTGAAGAAATTTGAGAGAATGGCGTGAATGGAGGGGTAGAATGGCTAAGGTTTCCCATTTTACCCTTGCACTTTCTAAAAATTCCATCTATGTCCCCTAGTCAATTACAAGAATGCCTTTATTTTTATTATCTTCTTCATGTTATTCGATTTCTTTTCACTCCCCACTCTTTCATCTAAATATGAGTGAAATGACCATTTTACCCCTAATAACATTTTAAAGAATTTCCTTCACACTTGTTCAATATAACTCTAACTAGATTCAACTAAGGGTATCAGGGCATAAATAAAGCTACGTACCTTGATGTGGGCGTTACAACGAGCAGGCAAAGGTCGTTGATGCTCCCGAAGAATCCATTTAGACTTTGTTGATCGTAGGGATCAGACCTAACACGGAGCTGTGGAAAGAGCTCTAGAGTGAAGATCATGTGAGCCTTGCCAAATTCTACCAGATGGCCGTGAAGTACCAATGAGTAGAGAGCTCATTAGTGGCACTACCTAGAAGCTCGACGCGCGGGGGAAGGGGGGAGGGGGCGAGGGGGCGAACAGAAAATAGGATCGCCCTTCGGATAAGTGTGGGGGCCAAGACCATGGCGACAGGGATCACAACATATTTCAAAAGAAATAGAGAGTAGATAACCGCAGAGATAGGCAACCGTTCTCGCGGTATGTAGAGTACACCCCCCTCACTCAAGACATCGCCCACATCTATGAAGTATCCCGAGAGGCAAAGAGGCTGCCCGCTCTAGAGAAGATTAGGGGGGCACCAGGCAGAAGAGATCGACAGAAATATTGTCGGTACCACAAGGATGTCAAGCACAAAACGAATGAATGTCGAGCTCTGAAGAATGTCATCGAGGACCTGATAAGAAGAGGTCATTTGAAAGAATTTTTCAAGGCAGAACCAGCTCGAGCGAATCCTGGTGAGCAAAGTAGCCAGGTCCCAAGTTAAGCACAGACCCCGGCTCAACAGGCTCCACCAAACCCCAACGAGGTATTTGTGAACATGATTTATGGAGGATCAGATATAGCAGGAAACTCGAGAAGAGCTCACGAGCAATATGCTCGGGAGGCCAGAACAGACTTGGTTCCCTGAAGAATAAGTTGTGAACAGAAGCTGCCCAAGTGTCCCAAACTAAGAAAGCGAGGTAGTGGGGTTCACAGTAGATGAGTGCGAAACATACCTTCATTATAATCATGACGTGATTGTAATTGCAGCCAAGATTGGCAATGAAAGGGTGTTAAGAGTTATGGTTGACAACGGGAGCGCGACAAACATCATTTTCTTGGGAGCCTTATGAGGAATGGGATTCACAGAAAGGAACTTGCGAGCATGCCCTTCGCCGTTCTATGGGTTCACCGAGGACAGCTTGGTTCCCAGGGGTATTATCGACCTTCCCGTAACTCTAAGGGAAAAGTCAAAGGCTAGAACTGTGATGGCCGAATTCCTAGTTGTGGACTGCCCAACCACGTATAACGTCATCCTTGGAAGGCCAATCTTGGATGATTTAAGTGTAGTCACATCGGTGCGCTGCTAAGTGATGAGATTTCCAACTTCCAGGGGAGTTACGACGATCAAGAGTTGTACCAAGGAATCTCAAGAGTGCTACAATCGGGCTATAAACGCCACATAGAAATAGCCGCATCCAAAAACAATGATCATCGCAGAATCCAAGCCAAACCCTGGACCGCTAGATGACACTATAAATCCTCGCATCCACAAAGAAGAGCCTGTGGCGGGACCAACTGAAGAGCTGTTAGAGATAAGTGTTAGCGAGGAGGATCCGACTCATGTGGAAGATCAACAGCAGCTTGACCAGAGAGATGGCCGATAGTTGGTAGCGTGCCGAATGCACCAAATTAATTAACCTTACTAACCTAATTACTAAATTGTATATAGGGTGAGCAAGGGTCGATCCCACAGGGAATGCTTCGATTAAATTCTATATTCTAAAACAATGGAAACAGCAGAAAAATAAAATAAAACCCTAAATAGTAAACATGACAACAGTAATGAAAAGGGGTTGTAGTTAAGGCAAATGATGTAAAACAAAGAAATCTCTAAAGGTAGAAAATATCAGGTTAAAAGCAATCAGTTCTCGGTTCAAGATCCACCTAAACATGCATTGGACATGAACTAACCGTAACACTATTCTATCTCCCCCTAGGAAACAACAAGCTCTGTTACCCAAATTTTCCCTTAATTGTCACTACTGAAATATCCTCTCCAAATAGATCCCAACCCTTGAACAACCCAGAATAAGCTCTCTAAGTTTAATTCAATGGCAGCCTTAAGAATTAGGAAAATAGATCAATCTAAGCAACAATCACGCAAGTTCGGATTATTTAACTTAGGTTATGTTATTTAAGATGATAGATTGAAAACTTGTCCATAATCATCTATCATCATATGTTACTCATTGAATAGAAAAAGGACAATTACGTATCACAATTCCTAATTCTAACAGGTAAAATTCTGATTAAACAATTTAGCAGGCCAAAACTAAATCACTCAAACAAGAATCATAAACAATTAAAATAGAATAACATAAACAATTCCAATAAAAACAAGATTAAGAACAATGTTACTGAAGCCAAGTTACACCAATGACATGAATTTAGGCTTCAAAATCCCCTTAAACTAACGAAGAAAGATCAGCCGCACATCTTGACCTAGAAAGTAAAAAACTGAAAAACAAAACTCCACTACCGTCTCTCCCTGGTTAACCTAACACTCCTCAATAAATAACATGTTTTCTTCTTAATTCTACCCCAGGAATCACGGAAAATCTTTCCTAGACTTTTCCTAAAAGATAGACATCCAGATTTGTCAAAATCTTATCAGATATGGAAAACAGATTTCGTCTCCAGCTTACACCAGGATTCTCGCAACGTAAAAGATCTTTTCTGGGCTTGGTCACATCATAACAATTGTAGTGCCAGATGTGTAGATGAATCTGGGCTTTTGAATCACCCGCTTTCAATATCTGACACTCCAGTTAGGCCCGTTCGAAGATTCAATACTCAGCCAGGAAATCCTTCCGCGACTAGGATTCCAGGTCCGGTTTTGTAACAACTAATGAGGACCCAAACGAACTCGGATTCTCGCCCATAATACCTTCCTGGAAAGCTTGATTTGTCAACTTTACTTTTTATGAAGAACACTTTTGAAATAAAGAAATTTGTCTATATGAAAAACCAAAAACGTATCACTGGTCAGAATAACAAAAATCTGGAATTTCCTAATCTTTTCTCAATTATTTCCTAAACTCTATCCAAATATGCCAAACTTACAAAATAAACTCTAATCAACTCAATTAGGCATAAAACATAACAAAAAACATAATATGGAAGGAATAAAAAATATATAAATTCCACTCTATCAAATTCCCCCACACTTAGCTTTTGTGCGTCCTCGGGCAAACTAATTCAAACACTAAAACAACCTACACTCAAGTCATATCAAGAACACCATCATGATGCATAAGCAACAATATTTAATCCATGCATATTCATACCTAACTTAGGAAGAAACAAAATAAAATAAGTTAATGACATTCATCTCTCTTCATCATTTTCCACAATTACTCTCAATCAGTCAATGCAAACAAGGAAACTAATCACAACCAATACCTGTACAACTCCCCTCTCAACTTTTTTCTCAACTGTTTCTCTTTACTACTACAACTAGAAATTTTTTCCTTCTTTGTTTTTTTTTTTTTTTTTGTTTTTTTTTTTTTTTTTTTTGTTTTGTTTTGTTTTGAGAAAATGAGTGCATTTTATGGTCCATCTCATTTCATGGTTATGTTTATGAGTGAGTGCGTTTTACCCTCCATCTTGACTCACCACATACCTTTCTTTTTTTTTTTCTATTTGCTACCCAAATTTAGGACTAGCTTAAGAGAAACAATTGTTCTTTTTTTTTTTTTTTAAAGGTTCTTATACACTCCTCAATCATGCTTCGTCACCAAGTTCACACAACTTATCAAGACATATTGTTTCAAAACTACAAAGGTTCAAATATGATTAACTCTATTTTATGAAATATTACTAACATCCTAAATCAAGGAATATGCTCAATAATAAAGTCAAGTTACTATTTCATGCATCACTAGACGTTCAAAGACATGACTTAAAGCATAAACCTTCCTAAAAACAACAACTTTTTTTTATTTTTTTATTTTTTTATTTTTTAACATAAACATACACCTAAACCTAACTTCTCCCCCACACTTAAAACTTACATTGTCCCCAATGTAAAACCCAAATGTAGAGACAGGCAAATAAAACAAATAAAATATGGCAAATAAAAAAACTAAATTCAAAGGAAAAGAAAATCAAATCTGAATTCTTGGGTTGCCTCCCAAGCAGCGCCTTTGGTTAAAGTCGTTAGCCCGACTCCCTGCGTCGTCTTCATTACTCATGTATCGACTCCTCCAATCCTACCTCCTCAATATTGCAAACTTGGAACCCTTCATAGTAAGGTTTAAGCCTATGTCCATTGACCTTAAACACCTTGTCTGTTTGCAAACTTTGGATTTCTACTGCACCATGATGAAAAACATTAGTCACAATAAAAGGTCCCACCCAACGAGAAAATAACTTACCCAGAAATAACTTCAGCCTTGATTGAAAAAGAAGGACTTTTTGTCCAACTGAAAAATGCTTCCTTGAGATCATCTTGTCATGAAAGGCTTTAGTCTTTGCCTTGTAGATGTGTGAACTCTTGTAGGCATCATTCCTCAACTCCTCAAGTTCTTGCAATTGCAACTTCCTATTAACGCCAGCTTCCTTCATCTCCATATTGCAATGCTTGATTGCCCAATAAGCCTTGTGCTCTAATTCTACTGGAAGATGACACGGCTTACCGAACACTAATCTGTATGGGGACATGCCAATAGGTGTCTTATATGCTGTTCTATATGCCCATAATGCATCGTCTAATCTCAAAGACCAATCCTTCCTGTTTGGGTTCACTGTCTTTTCCAGAATTGACTTGATCTCTCTATTTGACACCTCGGCTTGGCCATTGGTTTATGGGTGGTACGATGTGGAGACCTTGTGTGTGACATGGTATTTCTTAAGCAATGCCTCTATTGTCCTGTTGCAAAAATGACTACCCTTATCACTGATTATGGCCCTTGGTATCCCAAACCTGACAAAAATGTTAGTTTTAACAAAATCTCCAATAACCTTTGAAGTGTTAGTTCTGGTGGCTTTCACCTCCACCCATTTGGAAACATAATCAACAGCTAATAGAATATAAACATTACAAAAGGAAACAGGAAATGGACCCATAAAATCAATGCCCCAAACATAAAAAATTTCAACAATAAATATAGGAGATTGTGGCATTTGATATCTACAAGAAATGTTTCCTATTCTTTGGCAATTATCACATGACTTACAGAACATGTAGGCATCTTTGAACAATGATGGCCAATAAAAACCGCATTCTAATACCTTACGAGTTGTCCTCTGTGGTCCAAAATGTCCTCCACATGCATAGGTATGACGGAAGGTTAAAATAGGAATAAATTCATGTTCAGATACGCACCTTTTTATCATTTGGTCAGTATAATGCTTCCACAGATATGGATCATCCCAAGCATAATACTTAGCATCACTCTTGATCTTATCCTTTTGAGCTCTAGTCAAATCATTTGGCAACACGTTAGTAACTAGAAAATTGACAATATCTGCATACCATGGTGACGCCATTTCAATGGAAAACAATTGCTCATCTGGAAATGTTTCTCGCAAAGGAAGCTCATCGCTGTCACGAACCAAACGGCTGAGGTAATCTGCTACAACATTCTCTGCTCCCTTTTTATCTTTAATCTGCAAATCAAATTCTTGGAGTAGAAGAATCCATCTAATTAGCCTTGGTTTTGCCTCCTTCTTTGTGAGCAAGTACCTAAGAGCTACATGATTAGAAAAGACAATGACTTTAGCACCCAACAAATATGACTAAAATTTTTCTAAAGCAAAAACAACAGATAAAAGTTCTTTTTCAGTTGTAGAATAATTGAGCTGGGTGCCATTCAAGGTCCTGGATGCATAATAAATGGCGTGACACACTCTGCCAACTCTTTGACCCAAGACAGCACCTACTGTGTAGTTGCTTGCATCACACATAATTTCAAAAGGTAGATCCCAATTAGGTGGTTGTATCACTGGTGTTCTCGTTAACAATGTCTTCAACTTGTCAAATGCCTCCTTGCACTTCTCATCAAACTGAAAATCCACATCTTTTGTAACAATCTGCATAGGGGCAATGCGATTTTTGAAAAGTCCTTGATAAATCTCCGATAGAAACCTGCATGGCCAAGAAAAGATCGAACTTCCCGCACATTGGCTGGGTAAGGTAAAGCTGTAACCAAATCTATCTTAGATTTATCAACCTCTATTCCTTTTGATGAAACAATATGCCCCAAAACTATACCTTGCTCTACCATAAAATGACATTTTTCCCAGTTAAGTACAAGGTTAGTTTCCATGCATCTGTGTAGAATTAGTGTAAAGTTATGCAAGCATTGATCAAATGAATCACCAAAAACACTAAAATCATCCATAAACACCTCTATAATTGACTCAACATATTCTGAAAAAATACTTACCATACATCACTGGAATGTGGCTGGAGCATTGTAGAGACCAAACGGCATTCGGCTATAGGCGAAGGTACCAAATGGGCATGTGAATGTCATATTCTCTTGATCCTCCGGTGCTATGACAATTTGGTTTTACCCTGAAAATCCATCAAGAAAACAGTAATAAACTTGACCAGCTAACCTCTCAAGCATTTGATCAATAAAGGGAAGTGGAAAATGATCTTTTCGAGTTGTTGAGTTCAACTTCCTGTAATTAATGCACACGTGCCAGCCTGTCTGAACACGTGTAGGGACCAACTCATTGCCTTGATTTTTCACCACTGTAACACCAGATTTCTTGGGGACAACTTGCACTGGACTTACCCACTTACTGTTGGAAATAGGATAAATTACCCCAGCATCTAAAAGCTTTAGGACTTCTTTTTTCACCACATCCATCATTGGGGTATTTAATCTGCATTGTGCTTCCCGTGTCGGTTTGGCACTTTTTTCAAGCAAAATCCGATGCATGCATATGGAAGGACTAATCCCCTTAATGTTAGCTATGGTCCAGCCAATCGCTTCCTTATGTTCCCGCAGCATTCGAACCAGTTTCTCTTCTTGATTGGGTGTTAACTTATTCGACATAATTACCGGCAGTGTCTCATTTTCTCCTAAGTACACATACTTCAAATGGCCCAGTAATGGCTTCAACTCCAGTGTAGGGGCCTGCAAAATAGAAGGCAATAATTTCTGGTGAGAATCAGGCAGCTTTATAAAAGAAACTCCATATCTTTCTGGACTCGGTTTCAAAGAACGTGAAGTTGCCACTGTCTCCTTCAATTCTTCACTGAGCTCTATCTCTCATTTCTCCTCTGATTCCACATGTTTGAGAAGGGCAACCTCTAACTCATTTGCATTATTTAACTCAAAAATCTCTTGTACTATGGAATCAACAGGATCAACAACATCAATAACAAAAATAGACTGAACATCAGTTGGATATTTCATGGCATCAAAAATATTAAAACATATTACTTCACCGTCAAATTCTATCGTGAGGGTACCATCATGAACATATATTTTTGTCCGAGCTATATTTAGGAATGGTCTTCCCAGCAAGATAGGTGCAGGGTCAGGAGAAGAAGAATCATCCATATCCAGAATGTAGAAATCAGCAAGAAACACTAACTCATTGACCTACACAAGAACATCTTCAACTACCCCTTCAAGGTATGCATTAGTGCGATCAGCCAATTGAATAATAACACCAGTATCTTTCACAGGACCTAGATTTAATGAAGCATAAATAGATCTTGGCATAACATTAATCGAAGCTCCTAAATCTAACATAGCTCTCTCAATTCTGGTGTTACCTATCTTACAAGGAATTGTAAACATACCTGGATCCTTGCACTTGGGAGGAAGTTTTCTTTGGAAAACTGCTGACACATTTTCTCCCATTATTATCTTCTCATCACCGTTCAACTTCCGCTTATTGGTGCACAGCTCCTTAAGAAATTTTGCATACCTTCGCACTTGCTTAATTGTGTCCAACAGAGGTATATTCACTTCCACCTTGCGAAACATCTCCAGGATTTATTTATCCTTCTCTTCTTTCTTTGACTTCGCGAATCTACTAGGAAAAGGTAAAGTATTAGACTAAAGTTGAATTGAAGGGTTAGGAATTACCTTTGATTCAGTTGTAGCCTCTTCAATTTCATCTTCAATTTTTGCTTCCTTTGCTACAATTGGACTATTCAGCTTCGATTCTTCCACTTTCTTGCCACTTCTTAGTGTTACTGCATTCACATTTTCCTTTGGGTTCACCACTGTTTGAGAAGGCAACTTCCCTCCGACTTGAGCCTCTAAACGACTTATAGTAATTGCCATTTGACCCATCTGATTCTCCAAACTTTGAATACTAGATCTTGTATCTTGTTGAAACTGTTTGGTATTCAAAGCAAGGGACTTCACTATATCTTCCAGTGATGAGTTTGAATTCTGTGAGGCAGGTTGCTTCGGTTGAAACCCTTGTTGTTGTCTATTCTGAAAGAAATTCTGTCCACCTCCTACTTGTCTATTTCCTCCATAACTGAAATTCGGATGATCCCTCCAACCTAGATTGTACGTGTTGGAGTAAGAATCATATTGCCTCGGTGGTCCAGGAAAGTTTCCTGCTGCATTAACCTACTCAGTCCCTTCCTCTTGAAGTGTTGGGCACATGTCTGTTTGGTATCCCATTGTCGAACATATCCCACAAGCTTTCACCTGTTACGCATTCCCTACAGCCAACTGTCTAACAAGAGAGGTAAGATCAGATAATTGTTGTTAAATGGAAGATGTACTTACCTCATTCACCCTTTTGGGTGGTGCATCATGTCTTGTACCAAACTGTTGGGAATTGGCAGCCATGTTTGAGATTAATTGTTTGGCAGCTTCAGGAGTCTTATTAGGGTGCTGTCGTAGGCACCTAGAATTAAAACCTAAAAACACATGTAGTAGTGTGAGTCAGGATCATTCCCACAGAACAAGGCTAGGGGGTTTTGAGTTAAACAGAAACAATTTCAGGAAAACAACAATTCAAATTAATCAATCAATCAAAATAACAAACCTTGGTCTAAGTCAACATCCACCATCGGAATCTTACAACTGATCATCGATGCAAAAATAAATCAATTCACACTTTGAGTATTCACCTTTGGAACTATTTTCCTATCTCTCATTAGTTGTAATTAATTAGGAAACAAGTGATCTAATTAATCTTACTACTAAACAACCTTTACTACTAAACAACCTTAGACAAGCGCTAAAGATTTAATCTAGTGGCAGCCTTAAGAACTAGAGAGATCAATGAAGCTAAACAACACAAACTCAAGCGGTTGTATTTAATTTAGTTGAATGTTCTTCTTAAGACTTAATAATTCCTGACGCAACAAATTCTTAAACCCTAATTGCTTCACAAGTTAAAGGGATCAAACAATTACGGATTTGATATCTAACTTAGCAGTAGATTGCAACAAATAATAAACTAGTAGGCCTCCTAGTAATTAAACGCAACAATCATGACAATATGCATAGAAGAACATCCAATACTCAAAACATAAATTGAAAACTAAAAACAGATAGATCTCACAATTTTATTGATTCCGAGGTCTCCATTTCCTTCGACCAAGTTATGAAAATTAGCCGCTCATGGCCACCACGAAAATCAAAAGAAAATACGAATTCCAGTAGAGAGAAGAGAGAGGCGTGTGTGATATCTATGTAATCCCCAATCTGATCTCCCTTTAAAAATATCTAATTCGAATTCTAATTCTACTCAATCTAAATCTCCTAAAAATATTCTAAAATCCCAAAATAACCTTTATCCTAATCTGAGTAATTGAAAATAAAATAAAGTCTTAATACAAAACAGGAAAGTGGTGTTTCCAGCTGTAATTTGCGTACAACAGGTCTTCAAAACTTCTTGTAATAATCTGCCTATGTGAATTGCATGACAAGGCGGAATGTTCTAGAACGTCGGCAGTGCAAGTGCGTCAACTTCAAGCCCGATTATAACCTTGATTCAGTGAGTATCTCTCCAAACTCAAAACATGAAAGTTGTATATCTCTTTCTTATCATTCCACAGGATTTTGAATCATACAATCGGGAGCTTGGATGAGAGAGTTATGCCCAGATTACGAAACAATGTTGAAACAGTCCGAATTCACTTAATTAGTTCTGTTTTGCATTTAAAGCTTCCATTTGCATCCTAATCAAAATGAATAATAATGAGTATATTTAGGCAATAAAAATATAAAAGACTAGAATAAGAAGGAAGGGAGGGGGGGGGGGGGGGGGGGAGTAAATATGACATTTTGCATTCTCATCAAATTCCCCACACTTAGCTTTTGCACGTCCTCGGGCAAACTAATTTTCAAACACTATACTCAAGTCATATCAAGAACACCATCATGATGCATAAGCAACAATATTTAATCCATGCATATTCATACCTAACTTAGGAAGCAACAAAATAAAATAAAGTAGAGTTAATGACATTCATCTCTCTTCATCATTTTCCACAATTACTCTCAATCAGTCAATGCAAACAAGGAAACTAATCACAACCAATTCATGTACAACTCACCTCTCAACTTTTTTCCTTAACTGTTTCTCTTTACTACTACAAAATGGGTAGCAAACAAGGGATATTTATTTATTTATTTTTTTCTGTTTTGAAAAAGAATGAGTGCATTTCATGCTCCATCTAATTGCATGGTTGTGTTTTTGAGTGAGTGCGTTTTATGCTCCATCTCGACTCACCACATACCTTTCTTTTCTTTTTCCTATTTGTTTAAACCCAAATTTAGGACTAGCTTAAGAGAAACAATTTTTTCTAAGGGTTGTTATAAGCTCCTCAATCATGCTTCGTCACCAAGTTCACACAACTTATCAAGACATATTGTTTCAAAACTACAAAGATTCAAATCTGATTAACTCTATTTTATGAATTATTGTTAACATCCTAAGTCAAGGAATATGCTCAACAACAAAGTCAAGTTACTATTTCATGCATCACTAAACGTTCAAAGACATGACTTAAAGCATAAACCTTCCTAAAAACAAAAAACTATTTGTTTTTTTTTTTTTCAACAAATTAAAACACAACCTAAATCCTTTCCCCCACGCTTAAAACTGACATTGTCCCCAATGTAAGATGAAATGCAAAGAAAAGGCAAAAATAACCAAAATTTAAAATGCGTGAATAAGAAAAAAAACTCCCCTTGGGTTACCTCCCAAGCAGCGCCTTTGTTTATTGTTGTTGGCTCGACTCAAGGCTTTTCTTCTTTCGATGCATTGAGTTTACTTGAGATGATCACCGATAACGTTCCTCCATCTCCAAGGAACACATTCTTGAGGTAACTAGGAAGAGGCTTCAAATTTGGAATGGGGGCCTGTAAAACAGAGGGTAAAGGCCGCTAATTAGAAATTGGTAATGCAATATAAGGAACGTTACCTGACTGCTGTAACTTTGGAGAATCATTCAACGCTGCAACAGTTTCCTGCAAATCAGTACTCAAAGTAAACTTCTCATTCTCTTTCTCAAGATGCTTACTAATGGCAACTTCCAATCCAATTTCTCCATCAAGTTCAAAAACTTCCTGTGCTAAAGAATCAATCACATCAATAGAATAAACAGGATTATCATCATCATCAGGATATTTCATGGCATCATAAATATTAAACTTAACGATTTGACCATCAAATTCCATGGTAAGTATGCCACTATGAACATCTATCTTAGTCTTGGATGTTTTTAAGAAAGGTCTTCCTAACAAAATTGGAGCAGTTTGATCACCATTTTCCATATCAAGCACATAAAAATTAGTAGGGAAAACTAAGTCATTAACTTGTACCAGAGTATCCTTAACTACACCCTTAGGATAGGTATTAGATCTATCAGCCAATTGAATCACAACACCAGTTTTATTCAAAGGTCCAAGTTTCAAAGAAGCATATATAGAATATGGCATGAGATTAATAGAAGCTCCTAAATCTATCATAGCCTTCTCAAACCTAGTGTTACCTATCGTACAAGGAATAGTAAACATACCTGGATCCTTGCACTTCGCTGGGAGTTTTCTCTGAATCACTACAGAAACATTCTCTCCTACTCTCACCTTTTCACACCCTTTAAGTTTCTGTTTCCTCTTAATTGTGCAGAGTTCTTTCAAGAATTTAGCCTAACGAAGTACTTGTTTAATAGCATCTAAAAGTGGAATATTTACCTCGCATCTGCGAAAAATCTCATATATATCTCTGTATTGCTCATCTTTTCTAGATTCTGCCAAAGCTTGAGGAAAAGGAGGTACCGGTTTATAATCGGACAGAGGCGAAAACTTACACTTAGGAACACCATCGTCATTGGGAACATTACTGTTTGCAATGACGTTTCTCTCCTTTTCTTCCTTCGACAATGCAGGGGCTACCTTTGTTGGAAGCTCCACCTCTTTACCACTTCTCAAAATGATCGCACTTACATTTTCTCTTGGATTCACCACCGTTTGATAGGATAATTTCCCCGAACTTTGAGCCTCCAGCTTACTAATTGCGGTTGCCATCGGTCCCATCTGATTCTCTAAACTTTGAACATTGGCCCTCGTCTCCTATTGAAATTGCAAAGTATTAGTAGCAAGAGACTTAACAATATCTCCTATTGAAATTCCAAAGTATTAGTAGAGTGCCGAAGGCACCAAATTAATTAACCTTACTAACCTAACTACTAAATTGTATATAAGGTGAGCAAGGGTCGATCCCACAGGGAATGCTTCGATTAAATTCTATATTCTAAAACAATGGAAACAACATAAAAATAAAATAAAACCCTAAACAGTAAACATGACATCAGTAATGAAAGGGGGTTGTAGTCAAGGCAAACTAAGTAAAACAAAGAAATCTCTAATGGTAGAAAATATCAGGTTAAAAGCAATCAGTTCTCAGTTCAAGATCCACCTAAACATGCATTGGACATGAACTAACCGTAACACTATTCTATCTCCCCCTAGGAAACAACAAGCTTTGTTACCCGAATTTTCCCTTAATTGTCACTACTGAAATAAGCTCTCCAAGCATATCCCAACCCTTGAACAACCTAGAATAACTCTCTAAGTTTAATTCAATGGCAGCCTTAAGAATTAGGAAAATAGATCAATCTAAGCAACAATCACGCAAGTTTGGATTATTTAACTTAGGTTATGTTATTCAAGATGACAGATTGAAAACTTGTCCATAATCATCTATCATCATATGTTACTCATTGAATAGAAAAAGGACAATTATGTATCACAATTCCTAATTCTAACAGGTAAAATTTTGATTAAACAATTTAGCAGGCCAAAACTAAATCACTCAAACAGAATCATAAACCATTAAAATAGAATAACTGTAACACCTACTGAAAACTGTACAATGCATGCATAATAACAATAGAAAAGTTGGGCCCAAAGTTTTCTTTTCATTACAAAACATGTGTCTTTTATACATAAAGAGTACCGTTTACAAAAATGTATTTTAAAAGACAAAACAGGGGAAACAGTGTAGCTATTCCTCATTGCTTGCCGACGCCCCTCCGACCGCAACATCATCTAGAACCTGCATCCACAAAGGAAAATAACGGGGTGAGCACAAAATAATGCTCAGTAAGTAAAACTCTCTATCTGTCTGTCCCCGTATGAATAACTCTTAATTCTTTCCTTATGCTATCTCTGATTCTATTTCTGTTTCTAATAACATCATGGCCTCATCTTACCGGAGGTACGGCCGGATGGCGTTCACACAGCACCATCTCACTCTCTATGGCTATCGGGTGGAATTCACACAGTACCAACCCGTTCTTAGTGACTACCGAGTGAGGATCACAAAGCACCAA